TTAATGTAATGCCTATCTCATACTTGCTCAGTAAACCATTTTATTTTTAAAATTTTTTTGTTGTCATTAAATTTGGTCCTTTTTGGTACAGTTTATATCCATCCTCCCCAAAAGCACCAATCCAAATCCCAAAACATTTACAAATACAATAGAACTTACTGAAAACTTCTGGAGAAATTTGAGTTTGTTGCATCATTGAAGAAGCAGAAAGAGAAATAATAAAGAGATATAATAAGGTGCAGGAAATTTACCCAGGAGGTTATGGGGAACCACTGACAGGCTTTGGGGGGGGGCATATAAAACGGAAAGACATTGTTTTGACATCTTCAAACCTAAATTTCTTGCACCCTAACATAATAGGTAAAAAATAGATCATATGTTCACAGCTTTCTATTTTCCACCAAAAGAAATGGTCCAATCTTCAATTTTCCAGCTTAATGAATTCAGAATTTAAAACTAGGGTCACTAATCACTGTTTTAAAAAATCTTTGGGGGGTGCCTACTTGATCAAAATATTTAAAGGGGAAAATCTGAAGTCCCAGGGATCTACCATTGGATTGCATTTCATGCCTACATGGTGTGTCACCTTTCTTTTCCCGTTGGTCAAATTGAAGCAGGTCTGGGTGGATTTGAGTCCCACACTGGCCAACATGWTCTACCGTGAAGGTTATCAACCAAGGAGTCTCTCACCTGGAGCTCCAAGGGCACAACACTTATGGTCAATATTTTAAGCCCGTACTTAGCCCTCTTCCAAACAAATAGGGTCACTGAGTTTGATTTGTTTTTCCCCCCCAATGGAGGTGTGTCCTAGCCAGCTTCCACAACTTGCTTTTTCCATACCTGGTTATTTCCACTAATAGTGGCTGGCAGATTTTTATTTTCAACTCTTGAAATACAATATCATTGCTTCCTTGCCTTTTCTAGGTCAATAGAGAGATCTTCCCACTCTTCTATGTGGGACTGCCTTAAATTGTGGCCTGGTGGACAAGCATCCTTGGATTAGACAAGACTGTTTCAGATGCAATAAAAAAAAATGATTCAAATGGTCTTCTTAAGCAATAAAGAAATTGATTAGGACCCAGTTATCATTTGTCTCTCTGCTATAAATATGGTAGGCTTCAAATGCTAGCATGACTTTCCAACTTAAACTAGAGGCAGACAGGACCACATACTTTTGAGTCAGGTTACACAGCCTCTTTATCAGTAACTTCCTGGGAAATGCACGGATGTCTTAAGCCTGAGCTCCAGAAGCAAAAGGGAGTTCTCATGATTGGAATTTATTTCTAAACTGTTTAGCAAATAGCCAACAGTCACACTGGAACAGTACCAGAAGGGAGCATGGGGAATTTTTTTTKKGGGGGGGGAATTTTAAATCTCTAGTTAACAGATGTCTAACCTTTTCCATTTGTTTTGGTCTCCATTTATGCTGTTTAAAAATTAAGTTCAGCATCGAGTGATGGCACACACCTGTAATCCCACTCAGGCAGTCTAGGCTGAGGATCCAAATTCAAGGGCAACCTAGGAAACAGTGAGATCCTGACTCAAAATATAAAGGGCTAGGAGTATAGTTTAGTGGTAGAGTGCTTGCCTAGCACATGCAAGGGCCTGGGTTTAATCCCCAGTACTAAAGAAAAAAAAAAAAGCATTCAGAAAAGCAGATTTGAGTGAGACAAACTAGAGAGTCTAGGACCTCTAGGCAGAGGGCTCCCCAGGCCTTTACAAGTAGGCCCAGATTTTTGTTCAAGCATAATACTTTTCAAGTAACAGGCTCTATTAACATGAGCTTTGCAAATCCCACAAGCCTGGCTTYGCATCTTAGCCCTGTAACTCCTGAAGGGCTTTGTGTCTCTTTGTAAAATAAATATAATTACTAGCCTGTTATAAAAACTAGAAGCAGGGGCATAAGCATTTACTAAATTACACTTTATTGGTCTTGTAAAAGATAGTGGGATTCCTTGAGTTTTATAAGACAGTATGGGGCTGGGTTTGTGGTTTAGTGATAGAACACTTGTCTACATGTGTGAGGCATGGGTTCGATTCTTAGCACCACATAAAAAGAAAAGGTCCATCAACAACAAAAAATATTTTTTAAAAATGTATGATTGTTAAGCAACATCTTCACTGAATAATACTTTTGAGCTGCTCCCAATCAGGGATCCTTGTCCTAGCCCAACAACTCAGGATTGTTCCTTAGAATTAAGAACCAGAGGGCTGGGTTATGGCTCAGTGGTAAAGCACTTGCCTTGCATATGTGAGGTCCTGGGTTCGATTCTCAGCATTGTATATAAATAAATGAATAAAAAATAAAGGTCTGTCAATAACTTAAAAATTAAAAAAAAATTAAGAACCAGGAAAAAAAAATAGGGAGGAAGGACTAAGGATTAGGAAGAAAGAATCAGCCTTATCCTATCTCTGGGAACTTCTACCCTGGGATCTTTTTAACACCCTCCCTCCTTCATTCTTCCACTCTAGTGCCTTTCCCCTGCCCCACCATTCTTTCAAAAAAAAAATCACTTATTGTGGTGCTTGGGTTGTGGTTCAGAAGTAGAGTGCTCACCTAGCATGCATATAACACTGGGTTTTGATCCTCAGCACCACATAAATATAAAATAAGGATATTGTGCCCACCTATAACTAAAAGATATTAAGAAAATCACTTATTGCAATTTCTGTCCTACAAAGAAAAGCAAATAAATAAGAAAATATAAATATGAAGTCTTTGTCTTCAGAGGGCCTTTCTGTTTTCAGGACAGAAAACAAATTAGTGCTCAATAAGCAGAATCCCTGTAACATAATCTGAATTCAATATTATTTTGAATATCAACAGGGCTTCTCTATTGTCTTCCAACTCTGCCTTCTCTCATAGACTACTTAGCAGTTACATCTACCCTTCCAACCCTAAAGGTAGAACAATCCTTTATATTAACACCAAGCTACAGAAAATAAATTACACAAAACTCCTCAGCCTGCTGTAACAAAATACCTTAGACTAGATAATTTCTAAACAATAGAAATGTATTCCTTACAAAGCTGACTGGGAAGTCTGAAATCAACGCAGCAGATCCCATCTGGAGAGGGCTCATTTTTCTGTTCTAAAGACGGTGCCTTCCTGCAGCATTCTCATGGAATCAAGGAGAAACCTTAATAAATTCTCTAGGTTTAATCTGCTTCACCTGCTATAATTTRCTCTTTTAGATTTAACCCATTTCACCTGCTCCTAGTTACCTGCTTTTTTACTTTAAAAATCAACACTGTTAAGCCTCTGACACATGGGCTGTCATAATAACTATTGATCATGACTAAATTACCAGTTGTTTCCCAATCTCTAATCACCTTTCCCCACACCACAGACCATAAATATCCCTAAACCCTATTCTCAGGGAGGCATATTTGAGACTTGCTCTCTCATCTTCACACAAGACCACCTCGTGAATAAACTTTCTTCTGTAAACATCGTTGTTTCAGATTGCCATATTGTACGGGTGACAAAATGGGACTGGTAGTGATACCATAGATTACTGGTGAGTTCTGCTTCCTCACATGTTGAAGTATGCCATTAGAGAAGCATGCCAAGGCAAGCATATAAAGCAGGGTTTATTTTAAAAGGGGTATCACAAACTTCTCTGGGAAGGAGAAGGGAACCATAGCTGTTATCTTGTATCCCAAGAAGTGAGGGAATTCTGGCTTTTTATATGTGCTAGGCTTCCTTTGTTCTCCTGCTCCTTCACCCTATCTTTCTTCTTCCTACAAACATGACTAGGCCCAGGAAATGGTAGGTGGGATGGCCAAAAGGTGAAAAGCAGTTGGGCCCAAGGGGTCAATGTGGAGTGATCTGGCAGGAAGGGGGCCCAGGATAAATTAATTAACAACTTTTACAACTCTCTATGGGGGAAGGACAATCCCTGGGATAGGTTACCTTAGCAACAATTTGGAGGGGGCCCAGTGCTGGTTATACAGATAAGGGTGGATTAAGGGCTCTGAAGACATTAGCATTTCAATTCCTCCAATCTCTGGATAGACCCTTGCCTATCTGCCTGTCTAAATCTGGCTTCAGTACCATCCATGGTAGAAGGGGCAAATCCCCACCCCCCGTGGAGTCTTTTATATCAAGCTTAGTAATAAGCTGATTTTTCATAAATCTTTTGTATACACATATTTGTTACAAGTGTATTCCTTTCCGCTGTAGGCAATTTTTTTTTCCCCTCCAAAAGTAACATTACTTGAGATTTACAGAGACATCTTCCTTCCTCAAATGAATGAGGTTAGTAAATGATGAGCAATCACGGGTAATTGTTCTTGGTTTAAGTCTTCATCTTTAGGAGCTGAAATCACTCCTAATCTTAACAGTCAGGGGATGACAAAGTCATCAGAGTAAGGCAAAAAATAAATCTACCTGATGAGGGGTTTCTAAGAGTCAGTCCAGGTCAGCCAACTCCATAAACTGGGCTGGAGGTAAGGAAGAACATTGAGGCAGAAGGGCCTGGCAAAAGAAAGCTGCTCAGTTGGTGACATCTAGGAAGCAGAGAAAAAGCTCAAACCTCTCCCATAAGGGCGCTAATCCCTCATGACCTAATCACCTCCTACAGGCCTCATCTCTTAACACTTGGGCCCTCAGAATCCCTGAAAGGAACTAGGAAAGAGGGTAACAAGTGATACAAGTCTTACATCCTAAGATGGGTTTTCTTACGAAATAGTATTTGAAGAACAACTTCAACAATAAAATGGATGAGGAGTGTCCCTGCAGGAGGAATAGGGGAGGATGGGGGGTGGGGGGTGACCCACTTTAAGGACAGTAGGTCTTAAAATTAAAACAGTAACAGGGCTCATAAAGCAGTTTTAGGAGTGAAGGCCACGTTCAGGTTGACCTGGGGCATGGCTTCAGTGTCGGCCCACCAGGTTGAGTGAGTCCCAGCGTCCAGCCCGCGGCTGGCCTGCCCCACGTTCGTTGCCGGGCGATCGCACGCAGCGCAGTGCAGGGCTCGGGAATGCTTCGGGTGACGGCCGGCTGCGGCAGCGGCGGGGGTTGGAACTGTGGTGCGGGTGGCGGCCCTCGCCGGGCGCCCCCGGGGACCTGAGGCGCGACAAACAGCGCACTTGGATCGCGCCAGAGGAGCTCCCGCCTCAAGCCGGCAGCGCCTGGTTCCTGAGGAAGAAAGCAAGGCCGCGCGGCCGCTTAGGCTGAGCCGGAACCCACCGGTTGCTCGGCGCTGCCTCCCGCAGCCTTCAGCGCACAGGTGAGACTCGGCCGCGGTGGGGCGGCCCCGGCGACCCCGCCCCGGAGCCCCTGCCGCAGTCCCCGGCGGCCCAGCGCCAGGCCGCCCTCAGGATCCGACCGCAGGTCCGGGTGGCGGCGGCTACGCGGACCCTGGGACCTCGCGCTGTGAGGCCGGGGCCCGCGCGGGGTGAGTTCCGGGGGCTTCCTGCCGGCGGCGGGCTGTCCCGGGTGCCGGCTGCCGCTGACGGCGGGCGGAGCCGCTAGGCGGCGGGGCCCGGAGCCGGCGGGCACGGGGACGGGGGCGTCCCTGCTGCGCTAGGCCCTGCGACCCGTCGCTCTGGCCTCGTGGCCTCTTCGCACACCACAAAGGTGGTAGTACTTGTCCCTGCCGAAAATAAGGCACAGAAAGGCACAAAGAAGGCGGCAAATCAGGCGCGCCCCTGCTCCCCGGAGATCGGCCGGGTTAACACTGGGCGTAAGTCCGCCTCCCCCTGTGAGCACCGGCAGACCCCGGATCGCTAAGTGCAGGAACTTGGCCTCTTTCTCCCAAAAATGCACCCCGCGCGTTTCCCGGAAACCCCAAGTGTTTCCCCACGTCCTATAGGTTGCACTAGACTGCGGTGCTCGGTGCAGRATTGTGCACCAGGAATGTGACCGCCGCATCCACCCCCCAGCGGCTGCCTGGGCTTTGACAGGACTGTGATTTACTTAATAGAGGCAGCCCCTCCCTGATGGTGCACATACAGGTGGTTTTCAGTTTTTCCCTGGGGAAAAAAAAAAAAAGCAACTGGTAGAGTACTGTTTCGTCTGTTTTTTTTTTTTTTTTTTTTTTTTTTTTTTTTTTTTTTTTTTTTTTTTTTTTTAGCATAATTGTTTAGAATGAATCCCTAATAAAGCGTTATGCTCTACCCTCCGAAATGGCCTTCAGATAAGTATTCCCATTTTTGTCCTCTGGTAGGTAGCATTTAGACTGGCTCCACGAAGTTCTCGACTTTGAGGGCCCAGGGCTCCACATCAATCAGTGTCAACACTGTTTTGAAAGAGCAACCTGCTGTATTTGCTGGCCTTATCTGGAAATTTTGTTGAGAAAGCAATTAGGAGCCTCTTACTAACTTTTTAAACTGACTTAAACCACTTGGATGAATCACTACAGTTGAACCTAAATTAAGGCAGTATTCAGGCTGGAGATAGTAAATATTGGAACCATCTAAACCATGTTTAAGGCATGGGTGTTGGGTTGCTAGGGAAGGGATTTTCGAAGATTGTGATTGAAGGTAAGTAACAAGATACTCAAAAAGCTTTCTTTGAAGACATGGAAAGTTTCAAGTGAGTAACATTGTCCCCATCAGTATAAATAAGTAGAATGTGTTTGTCCATTTTTTTCATTTTAAAATCTCCTTGCAAAAATAGAGGAATTTTTAAAAAATTGCACCGAGTTTGATCACATAATCTTGAAAACTTTTTATTTTTAATTTTATTTTATTGATTTAAAAAATGACATATACAGCACAATTTTTCATATCTCTGGTTGTATATAAAGTAAGTTGATACCATTTCGTGTCTTCATACATGTACTTTGGATAATGATGTCTATCACATTCCACCATCCTTGCTATCTTGAAAATTTAAAGTATAAAACTTTAAAATGACAGTATGTTAATCCCTTTCTCCCAAATTTTAAACTAAAGCCTTCAGGACCCTTCCTCTGTAGAGCCATTCTTTTTGGCCTGTGCTGCTTACCTTAACGACAGATATCCCATTCCTCCACCAGCAGAACAGGTTGTTATTTTTTTTTTTAACAACTTGATTTAGATATAACTCACCCAATTTAAAATGTGCAAGTTCAGTTTTTTGTATTTTACATTATTTTTACGTTTTGATTCTATACACATAAATTTACCACGTATAAGTGTACATTTCAGTGGCATTAAATACATTGACAGTGTCGTGCAACCAGGGTCACTATTTGCAAAATTTGTTCAACACTTTAAACAGAATCACTGTTAAAAAAAAAAAAAAAAAAAAAAAACAAACTCCTGGGGTGGGATTGTGGCTCAGTGGCAGAGCACTTTTCTCCCATGTGTGAGGCACTGGGTTCGATCCTCAGCACCACATAAAAATGAATAAACAAAGATATAAGAAAAGCAAAACAAAACAAAACAACTCCCTTTCCTCCTTTCCCCAGTCTCTAGTAACCTCTGATCTACTTTATGTCTCTGAATTTGTCTACTCTAGATATTTCATATAAGTGAACTTATACAGTATTTGTTTTTTTTTTTTTTTCTGGCGTGTTTCACTTAGCATGTTTTCTGATTCATCCATGTTGTATATATCAGAATTTAATTCCTTTTTTTTCTTTTTCTTTTTCATTTTTGGCCTAATAATACTCCTTTGAATGTTTATATATTTTGTTTCTCCATTCTTATGTTGTTGGACACTTGGGTTTCCATCTTTTGGGATATTGGAAAAATGCTGAAATGAACCTTGGAATACAAGTATCTGAGTGCCTGCTTTCGGTACTTTCAAGTATATATCTAGTAGTGAAATTGTTAGGTGATGTGGTAATTCTGAGTTTTTGCAGAACCATCAGAACAATTTTCCATGACAGATGTATTATTTTATATTCCTACTGCAATTTACACAGGTTCTAATTTCTCCACATCTTCACCAACACTCATTCTTTTCTATTTTTTAATTGTACCCATACTAGTAGGGATGAAGCTATATATTATTGTGGTATTGATTTGCATTTCTCTCATGATCAATGGTGTTTATCATCTGTGTTTATATGACCATTTGTATATCTTCAAAAATCAAAGTCTGTTCAAGTCCTTTGCCCATTTTAAAATCAAGTTATTTGTTTGTTTTTTGAGTTGTAGGTGTTCTTTATATACTAGAGATATTATGCCCTTTTCAGATACATGATTTCCAAATATTTTTCTCTCATTCTGTAGGTTATCACTGTCTTGTTAATGTCCTTTGATTCACAAGATTCTTAAATTTTGGTGATGTCTAATTCATTTTTTTTTTTGCTGTGTTTTGGTATCTGTTGCCAAATCTACAATTGTGAAGATTTATTCCTTTTTCTTATGAGACTTTTATGTTTTAGCTTTTGTATTTGGGTCATTGATCTAGTTTGAGATAAACTTTGTGTATAGTATGAGATAAGAGTCCTCATTCTTTGAGTATGGAAATTCAGTTGAGCCTGTACCATCTTTCAAAGAGACTGTTTTTTCCCTACTAAATACAGTTTGTGCCCTTGTCAAAACTCAATTGGCCATAGATGGATGGGTTTACTTCTGAACTCTCAATTCTGTCCCATTGGTCTGTATCTATTCTCACACCAGCACCACACTGTTTTGGTTACTACAGTTTTATAGTAAGTTTCAAAATTGAAAGAGCACCAGGTTATGAGGTTGACTTGATGCTAATTCAAATGAATAAGTTCTTTAAAGACAGAGTTGTATTCTTCAAATTTCCAATAACACCTACTACAAGGTCTTTTGATAGTAGGCCTAAATATTTGGTGAATTGAAACACTGAAGGCTGGACACAGCAAAACCTTTTTTACAGTCAATGTACACCTCTCCTCAGCAAAATAAATAGAGCAGAGCTGCTGCAAATCATGCACAACCAGAGAGAATTTTTTAATGTCTATATACTTGACTTTGGAGTGCTTTTAGGATACTTAGTGAGCACTTGTTGAATGGATGGATTATGTTTGTTCAGGTTGATATTGGTTTGTATAGACCATCTAGAGAAGTCACCAGTCATGGAGGTAATTGTGGGGATATTATTAAAATGAAAATCATCATATGGCAATGAGTATTTTAAAGTTTGTTTATATACTGATTTCTGTGCTGTAGAGTTTAATGAGGTTTTAGAGTAATTATTATTTTTCATAGTCATTTTCTTTCAGATCTCTAGCTGAAATCTCAATTTTACTTTTAAGTTTACCTGAAAGACTCACAGATGGGTATATTTTTATATGCATGAGGTGAACTGACTAGGGATTTTTAATTATTTTCTCTGATATAAAAAAGTTAAGAAAACCTGACAGCGTGTTAATCAGTTGAATTTATAACTATTCAGAGTGTATTCTGCTAGGCATGGTGGGGCACACCTATAATCTCAACTACTTGGGAGGCTGAGGCAGGAGGATCACAAGTTCCAGGCCAACCTCAGAACTTAGTAAGGCTCTTAGCACTTAGAAAGACTTTGTTTCAAAATAAAAAATTAAAAGGACTGGGGGTGTGGCTCAGTGGTTGAGCGCCCTGAGTTTAATCCATAGTATCAAAGAAGAAGAAGAAGAGTATATTCTACTGGGTATGGTGGTATATGTAAATCTGAGGCAGGGTGATCTCGAGTTTGAAGCCATCCTGGACAATTTGGTGAAAACTTATCTCAAAATAAAAAGGGCTGGGGATGTTGCCCATTGGTAGAGCCTTGTGTGCCAGGCCTTAGGTTCAGTCCCCAGCACAACCAAAAGAAGAGAGTATTTTCTACATATGTGTCCCAACTTCTTAGCAGAGGAGGAAGTCAAAAAACTTTTTTTTTAAAGTACTGAGATAGATATGAAGTATATAAGATAACTGAGGTCACAGGACTAGTGAAATTTCTGGGAAAAGAGAGAAACCCAAAATCAGGAAACAGTTAATTTTGGACATTTTTCTTACACATTAATGAGATTTGTTATGGGGATCTCTTTTTTAAGATGGAGTCATGTGGACATTTTTCTTTATTCTCGGTGCATCATTGGAGCCTTCCACAGCATTGTTAGAAAGTGGCGTAGATAATAAAAGCATAGGTCCAGCAGTGGAGGTGGCATTTAGAAGGGTAGCTTGTTGCCTTGATTTCCCCATAATGACAAAAAGAAGCTGGACCAGGTGATCTTATTGTTTCTGTTTTTGTTTCCAATGCTGAAAATTGTATGACTCTTAATATTTTGGTTGGGGCTATTATAAGATAGTGTTCACATTAATCCTTGCATATAAAGCAGTTGTTTTCATTTAACCTCTGTCTTTGAAATGGAACAAAATTTGCAGCCTTTTGTATGCCAGAAATAATTATTTAAAAGTTTTATAGTTGTTGTTGTTATTATTAGGTACCAGTACCAGGGATTGAACTCGGGGGTGCTTAACCACTGAGTCACATTCCCCAGCTCTTTTAATTTTTTATTTTGAGACAAGTTCATGCTAAGTTTCTTGGGGCCTCACTAAATTGCTGAGGCTGGCTTTGAACTTGCAGCCCTCCTGCCTCAGTCTCCTGAGCCGCTGGGATCACAGGGATGTGCTACCACACCCAGCTAGTTATTATTATTTTTAAAAAGACAATTTCATCATTTGTTTAAACAAATGGATAACATGAACCAAAAAATTGAAATACTACTAACTTTGCATTAATGCAGTCTTTTTCTTAATCATGTCTACAGAAAAACAAGCACAGAATAATATAATTTTATATTGATTTGTGACTTTGTGTTTAAGAAGAAACATCAAGCTAGTCGTGGTGGCAGGTGCCTGTAATCCCAGAGGCTCCAGAGGCTGAGGCAGGAGGATCACAAATTCAAAACCAGGCTCAGCAACTTAGCAAGGCACTAAGAAACTTACTGAGATGCTGTCTCTAAATAAAATATAAAAAGGGCTGGGAATGTGGCTCAGTGATTAAGCACCCCTGGGTTCAATCTCTATATCAAAAAAAAAAAAAAAAAAGAAAGAAGAAACATCAATTTTGATATACACCGTTATATGTATTGTATTGCTTCAAATTTGCTAGATAATTGCTTCAGCACTTACTCTGACCACTGTATATACTTTTTAATTACAATATACACCATCAATTCCTGGAGAAAGAAAACTTGGTACCCTTTAGGTAGTGCATGAATAACTGCTGAATGGATGAATGAATACTGGTAGTTTTGAGAAATTTTTTAAAAAGAAAATGTGTTCTTGATTTTTAATTTGCTGTTGTCATTTATACTTCTATATGAAAATAAAGGTAGTATAATTAAGAGAGTTCCTGTTTTATCTTTGTGTGACTTAGTAATATTTGAAATTTCTTATAATAGGAAACAGGGCGATTCCTTCAGGTTTGAATGTCATGCTACTGAACTTTCTAGAATCTCTAAAAGTTTTAGAGCTAAATTTGAATAACATTCTTAAATCCTCTCTGATTTACAGAGGATGCTTATTCGAGGTTTATATTATGCTATTTGGCTTATTCTGTTGCTTTTTATTCTTTTTGTTTTTATAGTTGCAGTAGTTGCAGGATACCCTCCGTTTCATAGAATATATCTTTGGGCTTCTTGAGCCTAGAAAAATTCTTTCAAGGGCCTGGGTTCAATCCGCTGCAAAAAAAAAAAACAAAAACAAAAACAAAAAAAACCCCACAAAGACTAAAAAAATTCACAAACTTGCAGTACTTAAATAAATTAAAAAATGGACTTATTTTAAGTACAAATCTCTGCTTGATTCTTAGCTTTTCTTTGCCAGTTGCCCATTGGAATTTTTTTTWAAATATTTATTTATTTATTTATTTTTAGTTATCGGCAGACACAGCATCTTTGTTTGTATGTGGTGCTGAGGATCGAACCCGTGCCGCGCCGTATGCATGCCAGGCGAGCGTGCTACCGCTTGAGCCACATCCCCAGCCCCTGGAATTTTTTTAATGGTGTCAATCTCTTAACATTTTTTTCAACAATGTGGCATCTGGATGTCCCCAGCCTGAGAGGATTTGCATTGTCTCATTTTTAGCAATGAGAGCATGCTCTTAGGCACTTATTAAGGAGAAGACTAAAGCCAGGGTAGATGTTGGAACCAAAAGTAGTTGAATTTATGATAGTTCAGCAGGAGTGCAACTCTTAATTCCAAATATTCTAATGTGGAGGGTTTCCTGTGCATGTGAGTATGTGTGTGCTTTTGGTTTTAGTAAAATTTAATTAGCACTGCAGTCTAGTTACTCATTTCTTGATTATACAGTACTGGGCTGTAGTTCTGATTTAAACCCTGATAGTGACCTGAGGGATTCATGTCAGTTTTGTGGATTCATTATTGGCACTAGTAATCTAAATGAAATTTAGTGGGCAAATTAAGTTCATTCTTAGAATGCAAACCACCATATCCCGACTACTTCCTACAAATTTCTCATTTGGAAGTAGCATTTTTTAAAACTTATATTTTTACCCTCTAAAATGCACTGTACAAATTGCATTATAAGTTGGTTACCACCCTGTAACACTGCAGAAGCATCCTCTTTACCTTGGAGTTTTATATAATTCCTGATCCATGGCCTCAAACCCTTGGGGCTTCTTGTGCTTCAGTTTAAGAAGCATGGGACCTAGAGGATCTCTTAGGGCTCTTGTAGCCCTGATATTCTATAATACTTGAAATAAACTAGAATTTATTTTCTAGTGTTGAGAAATTATACTTTTAAAAAATGATAGGAGCTGAGCATGGTGGCATGCCTTTAATCTCAGTGACTCAGAGGCTGAAGCGGGAGAATTGCAAGTTCAACTCAACAACTTAGCAAGGCCTGAGCAATTTGGTGAGACCCTGTCTCAAAATAAAAATGAAATAAAATAAAATGGGCTGTGGATTAAAAAAAAGAAGAGAAAAGACATTAGAAATCTACAAAAGAAAGATATATGAATGGTTGATTTGCATGGTTTTACTTCTTTCTCTGAAAATTAAAAGATTGCAATTCTATTGTATGTATAAAAACTGTTTCATCAGAAACTGCATGCAATTTAAGAAATGGATTGCAAAGTTAGAAAAGCCCTTCGTAGATGTCATTGTTGTTGCTTTCAACCTTTCTCTGCTGCAATTCTGCTTTTTTCTTTCCTGGCTGCTAATTGGATTAAAAGACTGTTTTGCCAGCCATGGCATCTGGAGATGACAGTCCTATCTTTGAAGATGACGAAAGGTAATGTCCTGCATTGTAATAAGACTAGCTTTTGAACGTTTCAAAATTGCTAGGATAATTCCAAAGAGTTATTTATCCAGTCTATTCTGTTAAGGACACATTTTGTGACATTGCAGAATGCACAGTTCTGATTTCTGATTTAGAGCAAGGGGAGTGAATACCTACGTGGAGGTAGCCACCACTAGCATGTCATCCTTTCCCACTGAAACTTCATGTGAGGTCTCCAGATCCCTCTCAGCACAGAGTTCTTGGCAACCACTTCAAAATTATACCAAGTCCTTTTAATGTCTATGATTTAAAGCATACAAAAGAGGAAATTACAATGAACAAGAAAGAAGATGGGAAGAAACAGCCAGAGTCTTAGGTTTAACTCCGAAGTTTTTGCCATTTAAGCCAGGCATGGAGTAATAGCACACTCCTGTGGTCCCAGCTACTTGGAAGGCTGAGTTTGGAGAGTCACTTGAGCTCAAGAGTTCAAGACCAGCCTAGGCAACATAGTGAGACCCTGTCTCAAAACAAACAAAACCCCCATTTCTGCCAGTTGATGTCATTGTGACCTCAGGCAAGCCCTTAATCAGACTTATCTGTAAAGTAAGAGTACTAGTGCCCATCTCGTGAAGAGTACTGTAAGTTAATATATGTAAAGTTCAGAACAGCTGGCACACAGTAAGCACTTAATGCCACTGTTAGTTATGATCATTATTACTGTAATAAATGGTGTTTCTCTCAAAGCTAAAATCTATTTCAATATCAACATGTTAATTTTATATTATGCCATTCACATATGATACATATATGTTAAAATAATAATATAAAATATTATTTAAATTTTGCCAGAAATTTTTTGGCAAACAATTCTTTTAAAAAATTTTTCTACAATAATGCTAAGAATTGCTGTTTTCCTAGCATTTTTTGTATTATTTTTATTGCAATAATAGGATATTTCTTCCATGACTATTTTCCCCCCTCAGTCTTGGTATAATAAATTAGTAAATTAGAATCTTTTTTGATAAGATGAATTCCTAATCATTATTTTAAGTATGAAAAGTTAGGAGAGTTTTTGTTTTATAGTGATCAGATCTGAAAAACAAAAAATAATTACATATTGAGTTTTGTTAATTGGTAAGGAAAAGAGACTTTTTACTGAACTTTCCATGTATATTCCGGTCTAGAACACTATGCAGGATAAACGGATTCTTAATCCTATTAGTATTAAGGTGACTTTGGAATTATCGGACTATATACCCATACATAGTAGTCGTCTCTTAAGGGAAGAGTAAATAAGGAGGAGAAAGTAGTTACATGTTCTGTAAGTAGGATTTCTTAGGAAATATCACTTCAATGTTTATAATTTTAGGAGTTTCAAGAGTCTGATATTTTCATCTTGGAAGGATTAATTATTCTGTTACTGATTTTGACCCATTATAATAGTTTTGTTTTATCCCTTTAGCCCTCTTTATAGCCTGGAAAAAATGACAGATCTCGTAGCAGTCTGGGAGGTTGCTTTAAGTGATGGAGTCCACAAGATTGAATTTGAACATGGAACTACATCTGGCAAACGGGTGGTGTATGTAGATGGGAAGGTAGGAAAAAAATGTTACTTTATAAAATATGGTCACAGAGAAACTTGATTTTATCATGTGAAGTCAGGGCTTTTTTGTTACAGTGGTTTTCTTTATGTTCTGGGCCTATATCATTTTGCTCTACAAAGCAAATAATAATAAATATACCAATTCTTCCAATATAAATCTAATATTTAAACTTAATGCCTTATTTTCTAAAACCTTGGCATTATGAGTTTAAAAAAATATCTAAATAACATTACCATTTGGAAACTTTGAAGTCTCACATTATTTCTAAAATTAGATATTAATTTTCTTCCATTTTTGTCTTTTAAATATTTATATATATACATATATTTTTAAACCTAGGAAGAGATAAGAAAAGAATGGATGTTCAAATTAGTGGGCAAAGAAACCTTCTGTGTTGGAGCTGCCAAGACAAAAGCAACCATAAATATAGATGCTATCAGTGGTTTTGCTTATGAATATACTCTGGAAATTAATGGGAAAAGTCTCAAGAAGTACATGGAGAACAGATCAAAAACTACCAATACATGGGTATTACGCTTGGATGGTGAGGACTTGAGAGTTGTTTTAGGTAAGTTAGTGCCATTTCTGCAGAATTTATTCAGTTTTTATGATGACTGTTTAATTAATTCCTCTAAACTATACAGACTTTTGTGGGAGCCTCAAATAAGAGAGAGAATGTCTAATGTGCCCTGTGTGTATGAAAATTCACTTAATCCACTGTTTTGTATATGGCCAGATATTGATGGGAATGGATTGGAGGGTTATAAACTTAGGTTTTAAAAAAGTAATATTAGGTTTGGGGGTGTTGCTCAATGGAAGAGCACTTGCCTAGTATGCTCAGGCCCTGGGTTCCCCAGGTGCTGGAACATAGGCATGTAATCCAGCTACTCAGGAGTCCGAGGGTCTCAAGTTTTAGGACTGTCATAGCAGTTCAGTGAAATTAAAAAAAAAAAAAAGAAAGAAAGAAAAGTGCCAGGGATTTAGCTCAGTGGTAAAGTACCCCTAGTTTCAATCCCTAATACCAAAAAGTTAAAAAAAAAATATATATATATATATATATATATATATATATATATACACACACACACACACACACACATTTGTTGTTATTTAGTATTTTTCTTTGTAAATATGTCTTAAAAGCAATTAGAAATTTGAGATTAATTAATAAGACAGTTTTCTGTAGGTAACAATAAGTATAGGACTGCATTAGATCAAAGTTGTCAAAATGTAGCTAAGGTAGATTTTTTTTAAAAAAGTAACTTTCTCTCTTCTGGTTACTCCTAGTATTTCATACTGCTGAGTTAAGACTGTTTGGATCATCTTATAAATTCACCAATTCATGTGTTTAGGTAGTATTTGTTAAATGCCTGTTAGTGTACCAGACACTGAGGATGCCTAAATGAAAAGAGCTTATCCACAGTCTAGTCAGATGCTACCAAATACCTTAAACTAAGGTATTTTTAAACTAAAAAATATTTATCAAGTACTAAGTACACAGAGTTAAAAAATAAATAAAAGAAACCCAAAATTACTGCCTATATAGCTTGTTTATTGAAGTAACTGGATTGATTTGTCTAGAGGAGTTTCCTATGACTGGATCTTGCTGATTGCATACCTGTGACATGTCTGTCTTCTACATTTCCTGTAAAAATGACAGTTGCCTCTAAAGAATTGGTCAAATTTAGGTTTGACTTTTTTTTTTTTCTAGGAGACCACTTATGGTTTGCTATGTCATGGAGCACATGGTGTTTGTCATTTCTCTTTTTTACGTCCACCACCATTAATACCTAGATCCTTGCCAAACACTGATATTCTGATTCTCTTGTTCTTTTWTCTTACCTTAAACATTTCTATCTTGTTACCTTAAATATTGTATCTACTCATTGGTTACACAAAGAGTGGTACACTTTGTATAGGAAATACAGGATGACTGCTTATTTTTCCCTTTATTCCCCAGCTTTCAAAATATTGATTAGTCCCATTTATTTCAGCTAAAGAGCTAGAATAAAGATTAGTCTTTAGATTGGCTCCTGAGTCCTTTTGATACACCCTCAGTGAACTTTGATGCCTTCTTTCCTATCTGGTATGACAAGATATTTCATGTTCATTTTGAACTTTTTCTGCCCAAACCTGGAATCATCATTTCTCCAAGTCCTAGTTTCTATTAGTGGAAAATGATATTTCAGGAGCATAATATTATCATGCACTAAGAATGCTCATTTATTATTTGTAGGTTTTTAGTGGACAAAGCAAGAAAATTTTGTGCATGGGTAGAATGGAAGGATGGATGGATAGGTAGATGGCAGGGAGCAAGGAGGGTGCTTGAGAGGGAAAGAGGAATGAGGTAGAAACCTTTTTTTTTTTTTTGCCTAGTATGAAGTATCCTATATAAGTTCCTATTGATACTTGTAATTCAAGTTCAGGACTTCCAGGTTTTTACTTAACCTTACCTAACATCTGTATCTTCTTTTCTCCACACTGGGAAGAAAAGGACACAGAGACTGATGCAATTAGGATATCACTTCATTACTCATTTGCTTATATACATAATATATCATGCTATCATCATTAATTACTACCAAAACTTTAAAACATTTTTTACATATCATCTTCATGTACTCTATTTACAGTGTAAATACTGTATGTACATACATACAACTCCACCTGCTTCTCCTCTCCTCCACTCACTCTCCACGTCTTTTTTTCTTTTGCATTCTCAAAGTAGTTAATACTTGTATTTCTGTAGCCATTATTAAGTCTTCTGTGTTTTTACAGACTGATCCTATATTGGAAGCCAATAAATAACATTTATATTGTGCTTTGTAAATATTTTCACAGAGCAGGCTGTGATTACATTCTTTCTCTCTTTTATTGTCCTATCTCCAGCATCCCTCACAGGAAGTTGTTTTTAGTGTTAAGGTCAGATGGATTTCTGTTATATAATCTACCAGTTACTCAAAATTGTTTTACCGCCTTTCAGTTGACTTTGTATTCGGACCGTGATATTTTTGTACAGCTTTTTGTTTTATAGACTTTCCTGATTGGCTTTCTCTTTTCTTATTGGAAGTAGATGTCCATTCTTTGTCTATATTCCTAATGTCTGTTATCATTTTTGTTCATATTTTTTATTATTTGTAATCCTCTTCATGCTTAACAAAAATAGTCTTGGCAGTCTGTTGCCTTCCTGTTTGAGAGTAGGTAGCTCTTGGTCTGCTGCAGAGTGGCCATCTGAGCTTTCTTTCACGGACCTTTAATTCTCCCATTATTGAACTCCACAACTTCCGGTTTCATCTTTCTTTCTTGGGTGTGTGTGGGTGGGGGATACTGGGGATTAAACCCAGGGGTGCTGCACCACTGAGCTATATCCCAGCCTGTCCACCTTTTTTTATAAAACAGAGTCTTACCAAGTTGCCCAGGCTGGCCTCGAACTTGTCATCCTCCTGCCTCAGCCTCCCAAACGGCTGGAATTACAGGTGTGTGCCACCCCACTTGACCCAGTTTCATCTTTACTTAATGGTAATTTCCTGACCCAGGGTATCATCTAGGAGATAAGCATTACTTGACCCTCAGGCTAAATTACTGTTTTTGCCAAATACAGAGTTTTAACTTCAAAATCATTGTATTTCAGAACTTATGAAAGATTTGTGCCAGTATCTTCTATTCTTATTATTTTAAATGAGAAATTTTATGCCAGTCTGATCTCATTATTCTTTTTTCTGGAGTTTTTAGGAGCTCATCCATTATCTTTCCAAATGTTGCAGTTATATGGTTAAGGAATGTAGTGACTCAAACCTCAGTCAAGTTTTAGAACCATTGTATCTCATTGCTTATTGCTGGGAACTTTAGTTTTGAAAGATTGGATTTATTATCAACATATTTGAACACATGGGGCTTTTTCAGACAATGAAACCAAGCCTTTAAAATGATTTGAGGCTACCATGCCAACATTGTACTCAAGTGATACTTAACATTTCATAGTGGAAATGAAGATGTCCGGTACTGTACTTAGTTTAGCTGGTCTCTTAAATTCCCACTTGGGAATTCTCTCAGGCCTTTAAGAATCCTTTTCTCCATATACTCTTTGTCTGTCTTTACTTCTTTTTATCTATTTGTAACCCCTTATGATGATCTTGGAAGGGAGAGAGTTCAATCCAAACTTGTCAATTTGGCCTGGCTAAAAGGAACCTGGTAAGAAGAGAAGGCCCGGGTTAATTTGAGGTGAAAGCAAAATTGCCTAGAGTATTCATACTGTAGGGTTTCTTCTTCTAAGTTCCACCAAACTGCAAACTATTCTAAGGCCTACATTTTACATATCAGTGATGAAGAATTCAGGCTTCAGGATCAGAGCTGTGTGGTGGGAAAAATTACCCTCTAAGCCCTGGTTTCCTCATCTGTAAAATGGAGATATAGTATCTCCCTCACAGAGTTGTGTGGGTGATGTTTACTTGAGTTAGTGTACATAAAATACTTAGCATGTTTCTCACATAGTGAATTCTTTAAAAATATCATTCGTAGTTGTTTTTGTTACTTAGACAAAAAACAAGCTTACTTAGGGTTGGAGTTATATATATGTAGCTATATAATGTGACAAGTTTCAAATAACAATATCATATAAGTTTCCAAATTTTATATTAAGAAGTTAGAGTAAAGCTGGAAAAAAATTTAATTACAAAAATATTCTGTTTTACAGAGGCCATATTTCATGCCAAATACTATGCTAGGCACTTTACATAAATGATTCTATCCCTTATTATTCCTGTGTAAGAGAGGTGGTATCATCCTCATTTATCCACAGGGAGATCAAGGCTCCCAGTGGTAGTGACTTGTCACAGGTACTGCTAGTAAGCAGGGAACTGGGGTCTGACCTCAAAGATCAAGCACATTCATTTTCACCACCTCAAAAATGTAGAGCATCTAAGGGGACAGAAGATAGTATTGGTTAGCATTCTCCTATGTCACCTAGGCCTTTTCCTGGGCTCAGGTGATCCTCTTGCTTCAGCCTCCCAAAGATAGCCATTTTTAATAGTGTTGCCTTTTAGTGTTTCTTTATTCAGATTCAAGCAAATACACATATTTTATTACCTCCTTATTACATGAAAATGTCTCACTTTATTTACTTAGTACATGTTGAAGATATTTTTGTATTAATACATGAAGAACTTGGTATTTTATAGCTGAAGAGTACATTTCAGTAGTAAATAGTTGTTTAATTCATTCCCAACTGATGGACACTTGGCTGTTTCTAATCTGTTGCTCTTAGAAACATGCATCTAGGAACACAGTGTACATCTTATTTTAGTACAAATTTCTGGAAGTGGGAAATAGGCTTTCTGAGTCAGAGAATAATTGTATTTTTTACCCTCATAGATTTTTACCTAGCAACCCCCTGTGGTACTAATTTTCCCTTGAGTTCTCCAGCACAGCACATTGCCAAACCTGGATTTTTTTAACACTCTGTTAAGAGAAAAAATTGTATTTTTGTGTTGTTTTTCTTTGCCATTTTAAAAGTAGTTGAGTTTAAGCCTCTTTCAAATGTTGTTACTTTTATGTTACTTTTCTGATTGTTCCTGTTCACATCCTTTGCTTTTGAGTTGTTAGTCATTTTCTCCTTTATTTCTAGGAATCTTTATATTAGTGAGATTAACCTTTTTGTGCTGTTTCAAGGTTTTCAGGGTTTTTGTTGTTGTTGGTGGTGGTGGTGGTGGTGGTTTTGACCAGAGATTGGACCCAGGGGAGCTTAACCACTGACTTGGATCCCCAGCTACAATTTTTTATTTTGACACAGAATCCTACTAAAGTTGCTCAAGCCCTCACTTAGTTGCTGAGGCTGGCTTTGAACTTGCGATCCTCCTGCCTTAGCCTCCCGAGCTGCTGGAATCATAGGTGTGAGCTACCATGCCTGGCTATTTCAAGTATTTTCTCCAGTTTTTTCATTTATTAATTTATTGTTCATTTATTGTATGACTTTTGCTTAAGTGTATTTAGTCCTCAGCCAGCACAGGCTTCATAAATGAAGGTTCGGCTAAGTGGCTAATCCAAAAGGGAGTTTGAATTAAAGAGACAAGACTCTAATTACCTTTAAACCAGCTCCAGGGTGGCTTCTCCTAGCTCCAGCCTCCAGCCACCTAATGTGGTAGCGAGGTTTACTGAAGAGGCTATGGAGAGAAAGAGAACACGCCAGGGAGTGGGCTTTTATTGGGGAACAAAAAATTCTGGGGAAAATCCCATCCAGTGAATATTAAGGGGGCAGTGTCCAAGGTCAGGTGCAATGATTGGGTCTTCAGGGGTATGGCCAGACATGCCTCCACATGGACAAGCCCTCGGACCTGGGGAAAGCTCTGGACACAAGGATGTGTCTAAGCGCCTCTCGCCCGGCCAGGGAAGTAACTCAAATCACGTGCAAGGATGGCCTCCCATATGTGTATCCATGGTTTTTTCAGTCATGCAAATGTTTGTTGTTTTACTTTTATGGTGTCAAATTTACTCCACTTTCTTCATGGGCTTCAGGATTAGCAGTGTTCCTCAGAGGCATGCCAGTGAGCCCTTACAGAAAACCTGCGTGCACCCTGTGTTCGTCAGGCACACTGAATGCCAGTGTCCCCACCACTGTGGCTTCCTTACAACTGTGTGCTCTGCCATGTGTTTGGACACACCAAGTCTCTCTGCAGCTGTGACCAGATGCTTCCCACTCAGTCAGCCTTTTGGGTGACCCCTGCCCATGTCTCCTGGTGCCTTCTGCTTTTCCATCTAGCCCATCTCAAAAGCCTTTCTCCTTTCTAAGCGAGGCACCCAGCTCACTGTGTGAGGAGAAAACAAGCCCCTTCAGATGGTGCTCCTGCCACAGGCACCCTGCCACACTCACACTTTGACTGGCTTTAGACTTGACCCCAGACAGGTTCTGACCGCCACTTGATTCCTGCATGCTTCTCTCCCCCTCCTCTTGTGGCACTTGCTGAGTGCAGCCTTCTCTCCTGCCACTTCTCAAGACATGAACACTCGAACACTCGCAGGTTGCTTTGGGGACTCCCCTACCCTGAGGAAAGCAATGGCAGTCAGCTGATGTGTCAGTGTACTGTGGTGGCATCTTGTTGCACCCCCTAGACCTATTTTTTTTGTTTGTTTGTTTTTTGGGTATTTTTTTTGTTTTGTTTTGTTTTGTTTTGTTTTTTGGTACTGGGGATTGAACCCAGAGGTACTTAACCACTGAGCCACATCCACAGCCCTTTTTTCATATTTTATTTAGAGACAGGGTCTCACTGAGTTGCTCAGGGCCTCACTAAGTTGCTGAGGCTGGCTTTGAACTCGCAGCCTCCCAAGCTGCTGAGCTTACAGGTGTGCACCACTGTGCCCAGCTCTCATACCTGATTTTCCCTTATGATCCAATAATTTTTCCCAAAGTGAAATCATTATAAATAAGAATATAGATTACTGTGCTATCTGGTAAGAAACTAAAGATTGAATTTCCAAACCTGACTGCTGACTATCCTGCATGGTGGTCTCTGTGCTCTCGTCTAGTTGGGTCAGTGTGAAGCAAGAGGGATTGTCAGGCTCGAGGACAAGGGACGTTCCGTGCAGACAGGTCCCTCACATTCACTCATATGCAACCCTCCCTCAATGATTGTCCTTCAGTATTTATTTTGTTTAACAAAACTTCATCAATTTGTATTGGTGTCATGACTTTCTATTGAAAGATGTTTTATCTATGAACAAAAATAGTTTCTCAAATTTCAGGGGCGTTTCAAAGCCATGAAAAAGTGTTGCATTTGAGAATGTTAATGGAACTTTAGAAACCCACTGTATCAAACTTTTCCTAAAATAATAAATTTGTAAGGTTATGTTTATCTTTATATTATAGAATCATAACCTTCCAACTTTATGTCACTTTCACAGAAAAAGACACCATGGATGTGTGGTGCAATGGTAAAAAGATGGAGACGGCGGTAAGTCACCATGGGCTCTGCCTCGATTCTGGAGATTTCATAATTAGCCAAAGTCTTCTTGGTAAAAAACAATAGCTAGGTGCCCCTCCCTCCAAACTCTGAAAATCTTTCCCAGACAGCTCCTAGGGCAGTGAGAGTTTGGAAACAACTTGTGTTCTGACCCGTCACCGACCTCACCGTCCCTCCCACCCCACCTCTCCTGGTCCAACTCCTCTCCTAAAGAGTCCTCCTGTTAAAAAGTTCTTCCCCCAAGACTGCTGTCCTCTGTGTTTATCCATGTAAAGTAATGCTTGATACCACTGCTTCTCAGTTCCCATGCGTAGATGTCACCTGGAATCTTGTTAAAATGCAAATACTAGCATTTCCCTGGCTTCCACCAGTGCTCCTTGCCCCCAGATCATACGTAGAGTGGAAAGGTTCTACTCCATGCACCCAATGCAGATGATACTTTTCTAAAAGCAAGATTTTTATAATGCATATTAACTGTTCCTGGAAAATATCGTAAGTATTATAATCAACTTTTTCATCACTGTGATCTGACAGGAATAATGTAGAGAAGAAGTTTACTTGAGGCTTCTAGTTTCAGGTCCCCATCCACAGAAGGACAGCTCCTTAGCTCTGGACCTGAGATGAGCAGAAGATCAAGGCTGAAGGATAGGGCAGAGGAGAACAGCTCAGCACATGGCACCAGGAAGCAGAGCTCTGCTCACCAGGGACAGAATATAAACCCAAAGGCACCACCCCCCACCCCCCCACCCTCCCACCCCGTGACCCACCTCCTCCAGCTGCACCCCCCTGCCTTCAGTCACCACTGACTAATCTTTATCTGTTAATATGAGTTGATTAACCCACTGATTGGATTACACCTCCCTTAATTAATCATTTGACCTCTGAAAATTTTTGCATTGTCTCACATGAGCTTTTGGTGACACTTTGTAGCCAGATGGTAACAATAAGTAAGTAGGAAAGGTTTATTATTATGTTCATCATTTTTATTTTTGAAAGCTGTTATATGTATACATTTTTTTCCTTCAAAACTGAAGATTTGTAAGGATTGGCTACAGGTCATTTGAAAGAAACTTTCAGTTCTTAACAGAAATTTAAAAGCATCTAAATACAAGCATTAGACTTTAATTTTCTACAGCTTAACGCTTGACTAATACCTTATTGTCCCACTAGTACTTTTAGATGCTGTTGATACTGTAGACAAAGAGAAATATTTCTGGCACACTGATCCTTCTTTTGTTGTCCTAGGGTGAGTTTGTAGATGACGGGACTGAAACACACTTCAGCGTTGGGAGCCACAACTGCTACATAAAGGCCGTCAGTAGCGGGAAACGGAAAGAAGGGATTATTCACACGCTCATTGTGGATAACAGAGAAATCCCAGAGATGCTCGAATGACTTTGTATTAACGAATTTTTATTTTAAGACATAATGATCAGGACTTTTTAATTACTGTGGTAATTTAATGTGTTCAATATGTACTTATCACTACATTTAGTATGCAATGTTTATGTTTTTTAGTTACTTGAAACCATAATATTTCAAGAGTCAGGAAAAAAACTAATTATGTGCAGTCATAAAAATTATGATTTTTTTTGTAAATAATGCAAACTGTTTTAAAACTGAATAGAAGATAAGATATGGACCAAAATCACCAATGTTTTACAATAGCCACTGTATTACAATAAACACTGTAAAATTAAATTCTAGTTGTTTAATTTGTGTTTTTAAAAATGGAAAAGTTGGGGGGGAAGGGGGGATAGGAAGGGCAGCAGAATAGAATAGACATTGTGATTGCTGTATGTATATAGATGACTGTATGACCAATGTGATTCTGCAGTCTGTACAATCAGAAAAATGATTTGTACCCCAATTGAATCAAATGTGTGAATTGCCAAGATCATTGTAATGTCAAGTGTAGCTAATTAAAAAAAAAAATGAAAAGGGTTAGGGATGTGGTTCAGTGGTTAAGCATTCCTTAGTTCAATCCCTGGTATCAAGTAAAATAAAATAAAGTTCTCACCTTGTCTTGCCTTGCAATACCTAAAAAAAAAAAAAAATGGAAAAGTTGGGCTGGGACTGTGACTTAGAAATAGAGTGCTCGCCTAGCGTGCATGGGGCACTGGGTTTGATCCTTAGCACCACCGAAACATAAGATAAAGATATTGTATCCATCTATAACTAAAAAATAAATTTAAAAAAAATTATAAGTCTTGGAATATGTTTAACTTATGCAGACAGGTTGTCTCTTTAGCTTAAAGCAGTTGGTTCATAATGATGCAGTTAATTAATATTCTCTATGTGGTAACCTGTTAAGGAAAATTCAAACAGTGTCACATAAGAATTTAATTTTAAAATGTGGGTTTCTGAGGATGGTAAGCTCCTGTGCCTCAGTTTCCTTATCTTAAGATTGAGGCCTTTACTTGTTTTGATGTTTTTAGCTGTTGAATGAGGTACTTTAACAATGAAATCAGCAAAAAAGAAAAAGAGAAATGACATATTACTGTCTGTGTGGAAGAAAGAGGGTACCCCCTGCAGAGTTTGTGGTGAAAATAAGTATAATAAGTTCTTAGGATAGACATCTGATATTTATTAAATTAAAACTTTCATTTATATAAGATTCAAAAATAGTCTTAGAAGTCCAAATAATTCCCACATTACAGGGGACTTAGAAGGTGGCACAAAAGGAAATTCAGCAATGGTAATGTCCTATTTTTGATCTAGATGCTGGCTACAAAGATTACTTGTAAAAGTTAGGCTACATACCCATAGAACTTTTACCTCTCTGTAATGTACGTTATATTTTATAAAACTGTTGAACTCCAATAAAGCTTTTTAAATGGAGGCAACCAGGGATGTAGCTCAGTAGTAGAGAGCTTTCCTAGCATTTGCAAAGCTCTGAGTTCAACCCCCAGCACTGCAGGGGGAAAAAAAGATTTTAAAATATGCCCACTATGAGGTTTTTTAAAACATCTTATACACCCTTTTGGGACCCTATCCCTTAAGAGTAAAGCCATTGATATTAGCATGTAAGAATATATATACACAAGGATGTTTATTGCAGCATTGTCATTGTGAAGAGAAAAACTTCAAGTGGGCAACTGAATGCCCAACTGCAGACCAATGATAGGATGAAATCGTTACGCACCATGAACTACAAATCAGCTGTCACAATGAATCACAGAGGTTTTCATGAGATATTTTTTAATGAAAGAAAAGCAAGTTGGATATGATATAGTCCCGTTTTATTTTTAAAAATCCTTTTATAATACATGTATGAAAATCTTACTATTTTTTCTGTGTGTGATTTTACAAGCATGGAAATAGGGAAAGTTATAAATGGCTACCATGATTACCTAGTGGGGATGAGCAGTGAGGTTGTGGGGTGGGGGGAGCAATAACCACATAACATTCAAGGAAAAAAATAATTTCACTTTTTAAAAACAAAGTTTTATGACCGTATTTATGCATTTATATGAAATTCTTTACAGGAAGTTCACAAAGAAAAACTAGAATTTGGATAAAGGAAAAAGTAAAACAGATTGAAGAATGTTTTTAGATGGTAGAAAATCCTAAGATGTAGAAGGTAAGGTAAGAAGGTACCATAAAACAAGAATAGTTAGCTGTCAAATTGCTTCGGAGAGGATGAGAAGCTTGAGAACTGGAAGGTTCCCAGTAGATTTGGCAACATGGGATGTTGCTAAGAAAATGAACAAAACGAGTCTCAATGAAATGAGGCCATACTAAAGTGAGTGAAAAATTAGTGGGGGTAAAAATGAAGATGAAGAGGCAATGCTGACAACTTGAAGGTATTGGAAAGCTAAAAAGTGGTGATTAATTTCTAAGCCAAGAAGTGAGAGAAGGTGGAAATTCAGAGAGGTAGACCAGGCATTTGGAAACACTTAGGCCTGGGATTGTTTACTGATTCCAGGAACTCCAGGGGGTCAAGTATCTAAAGGAGCACTTTTAACAGCTTTAAAGGACTAGGGAAACACAAATTGGGATCCCAAAATGGAATGCCAAGGCTGGGGGACACTAGAAAAACTCCTATGTTATGGATTAAGATCCCAAAGAGCAACAGGTAAGAAATAAGAATTTAGCAGGGAACGGGAAAAACATTTTTTAAAGACAACAATATTAGAAAGTACTAATGAGAATTTAAAAGTATAATAGTGAAATTAAAAACTTAAAATCAGAAATGTAGTAAGACAGAAAATAGATAATATCTATAAGAAAAAAATTATAGAGGAGTAATAAATACAGATTTCATTATTAAAGTTCAAATGTTAGAATTGCAAAAGAAGAGATATGAAGATATGATGCATAACATTTGAAGAGATGACTTGGGATTTACAGAATGGTTCGGAATGATTAAAAGCAACAAGCTATAGACTCAAGAAGCTCTGCAAACACCAAGTAGGAAGAATACAGAGAAAACTATTCCTGGGCATCTCATGGCAAAACTGCTAAAAACCAAAGACAAAGAGGAAAAATTAAATGGCTAGTAGAAAAAAAAGCACATTCAAACTTTTTAATAGAAATGACAGAAGTAAGAAGATAGTGAGAACATACCTTCAAAAAGTGCTGAAATACTAAACTACCAACCTCAACTTCTATACCCAGCACAACAATTACCAGGGAAATAAAATTGAGAGAATTAATCCAGTGCAGGCCAACTGATGGAAATGTGGAAGGATGCATTTGGACCTAAGAAAAAAGTGATAACAGATGAGAGCTTATGTAGAGACAAGAGTTGGGGAATGCAGCTCAGTGGTAGACCCGGATAAGTCTCATATACCAGTTGTAAGCTCATGTCATCAACAGAAGAATGGTAAAATGGTATATATTTTCCAAAGTAGCAAGGGAACTATTTTTAAATTTCATTAGAACTGGAAGGAAAATAATGGAGAAAGGGACACAGGTAGGATAAAACTGCATAGTAAGATGGTTGACTTTTAACCCTAAGTATCTTAGCAATTACATTAAATGTAAATGTTTCAATTAACAGGTAAAGATGATCAAAATGGATTTTAAAACATATATGCTATTTATAAAATAAAATAAATATCTATAGCATAAAGATTCTAAAAGTTTGAAAGGAAAAATGTATCATGCAGGGCTAGGGTTGTAGCTCAATAGTAGAGCGCTTGCCTAGCATGTGCAAGGTGCTGGGTTCCATCCTCAGCACCACATTAAAAACAAATGAAATAGAGGTATTGTGTCCATCTACAACTAAAAAATAAATATTAAAAAAATAAAGGTATTGTGTTCAACCTAAAAATACTAAATATATTACACAAACACTAAGCAAATGAAAGCAGGTATAATAATATTAATATCAGTTAAAGTAAATGTTAAGGCAAATAATGTTATCAGAAACAAAAGAATATTTTAAATGAGTTTTTAAAAAAGGTTCAATTGTCATGAAAACACTTCAATTTGTATGCAACTAATAATATTGCTTCAAATTCTACACAATAAAAACTGTCAGAATAGCAAATACATATATAATGAGATAATTTAACATATCTGTCTCATACCACTAGGAAAAAACTCACAAAGAATATGTAAAAATTTAAACAACACAACTGGAAGAAATAATATATGTAGAACACTAAATCTCATAACTGCAGAACATGAGTTCTTTCTATGAGCACACATACTTTCAATACTTATTTATATGGTGAGTCAGAACAAGTCCCACAGACTTGAAAAAATTTAAGTCAAATCATGTTCTCTAAACACTATGCAATCAATCTAGAAATAAATAGCAAAACAATATGAGAAAATATACAAATATTTTAAAATTAATATATATACTTCTAAAATGAAAAATGGAAATTAAAAGATACTTTGTAATGATGACCATGAAAGGTTTTCATATCAAACTTTACAGAATGCAGATAAGGATTGTTATTATAAAGGCTGAAAATCAGCTAAGCACCCAACTCATAAAATTCAGGGAGCAGGGAAACACAGCAATGAATTCCAAATAAAGTAGAAGGAGGAAAAAAACAATATTGAATACTCAATATTGACCAATATTGAGTTGAAAAAAATACTCCAGTAAGAGATTCATCAAGAAAATAGACAAGTACAATGTTACATTCTTCCTGTAAGACAGGAGGAATAAGTTCTCATGTTCACTGGCACACTAGGGAGGGCAGTTATCAATATTCACCGTGTGTCTCAAAATTAAAAGAGAATTTCAAAGGTATTCACCATAAGAAAATGGTAAAAGTATAAGATAACGAATATGCTAATTACCCTATTTGACCATTTCCTATCGTGTGTGTGAATCAAAAAATAAGGTACAAAACATTGTACCTCATAAACATGTACAAATATTATGTATCAATCAAAAAATTTTAAAAATAGAGAAGGCACTAACCAATACCACTAAAAATCAGTGCTACAACATGAAAAAAAACCTCTTAAAATATAAAATATAAATTGCACTGTAAAAATTTGAAAATTTTCCATTAAATGGACACACTCCTAAAAAATTACATTTCAGGACCTGGAACTGTAGCTCAGTGGTAGAGCACTTGCCTAGCATGCATGAGGGTTCCTTAGCAACACACACACACACACACACACACACACACACACACAATATAATTCACTAAAACAGACACAATAACACACGAATCTGAATAATCCTATAGCTATAAATAAATGAAATCCATACTT